AATGTGTTGACTCTTAAACTGAGACGTCCAGGAATTAGCTTGGCTGTATGGCTTTAGCAGCTTCCTCGGTCTTTCTGTATCAGCTCCAACCTCAGGCTCTCTCCATGTGACTGTCAAATGGCAGCAGCAACAGCTGCAGACCGTACATCCTCTGAGGGTGAAGTTCAGCAGACACGAGCAGCTGGCACTGTCCCAGTCGTCCTTCCCAGCAAGTGTCACTGCGTCTCACTGCCTTTGATCAAGCCACGTGCTTTTCTGAGAAGCAATCCAGTGGCCAGATTGAAGTGCACTGAATGACCTAAGTCTTGATCACATGCTTCTTGCATGAATGGGAAATGGGGCTCCATCAGAAGCACACAGTCTAAGAATGCGGAAGGAACGAAGCCCCGAGTCCAAATTAGGGTTGTAGTCAAAGCGGGGAAATGGATGCTAGAGAGACAAACCACCACCGCTGTCTACAACAGTGGATTGTTACTGGGATAGAAACCTGTGGTGGACACGGTTGGCATCCATTCCTCCCCTCCCCAACTGTGGCAGCCAATAGGCTCGTGTGAATGAGATCCCCTTCCGACCTCCAGGACCAGGCCCTGATTGGCCTAAGGCAATCATTTTAATCCATCCCTCTTTGGCGAGAACAGAAGCCTACACCAATCAAATGGCTTGCCCTGGCCTCATTGATTGATGCAGAATAGAGCATGTGGCCTACAAAAACCGGAGAGAAGCCCAGGACATTTGATGATAGAGGAAAAGCACCTCTCTCCTGTTAGGGATGGTAGAATGTGTGGCCTGGGACTCCTACAACCATTTTCCTACCTACAAGGAAGCCAGTCTCAGAAGCCAGTACGCACAGACTCCCTGACTCACTAAGAAGCATGGCCAGAACCCTGATCACCCCTCTCCTGCAGTTTGCCTCGCTTCTGGGTTTTTCAGCTACGTGAACCAACCTGAGGTGGATTTACTCTGACTCGCAACCAAAAGCATCCTAACACATACAAAACTCTATCCGTGAAAGTCCTTACCTGCTGCCTGAAGGGCACGGATCACCCTTGCCACATCCACCCGAAGAATAACCCCTAAGAGAGTTCCTCCTGGTCTACTGCCTCTCCTCATTTGATCCTTGACTCAACCTCACGAGGTGGGTGAGGCAGCCGTAGTATCTGCATTTTACAACTGTCGAAACAGGTCAGAGAGCTTAAGTGAATCACCCAAGGTTTCTGGCGATCAAGGAGTGGAGTCTGAACCTGAACCCAGACCTGCTGCCCAGGAGCTTCCATCCCCCCAGGTGTCTAAAGGAAGGTGGAGTGCGTGGTCTCGGGGATGGAGGCAGTACCGAAACGTGTGTGGGTTACCTCCGGGGCTGGATGACAGAGACCCCGAAGGCCGGCCCCCATCGTTTACCAGGACGAGCATGCTGACAGCAAGTGGCCGGGGAAGGCTGGCCTCGCTCTTCGGTCTTCGTCTCCTGCTCTGCCAAATCTTCAGCATAGAGCAACGATCCCCACACCAAATGGGTGCCACCCCAGTGCAGAGCAAGGCTATGGTGAGTCAGTCTTTCTGGTAGCTCTGAAGACAGCCCGCCCCCTGCAGCCTGGCCCGGCCTGCCTAACCGGTTCCTGGACTGGACATCCTCTTTCACTTCCCGGCAACTCTGCTTTTCACCAGCTGGTGCAGGAGGTTCAGAGAACGAGGCCAGGTGGCCGATGCTCCCCTCCCACTGCTTGTGTACGTCCAAGAACAGCCAGGAAGGCGGGGACACAGTGCTCATCACTCGCCCGGCTTAATGGAAAACTTTCCCTGCCCTCTGCTCCTCCTGCATAAACACCGCTCCTGCAAAATAATCATAACGATGCATTTAAAAAAGACGACCTTTTTATTTTAGGATAGTTTTAGATGGACAGAAAAATCGCAAGGATAGTAGATCCCTATGTCCCTTAAGCCAGCTTCCCCCACTGTTGCCATCTTACGTGAATATGGAACATTCATCGAAACTAATGAACCAATGTTGATACGTTACCATTAACTGAAGTCCATAGTTTATTTGAATAACTTAGTTTTTACCTAAATGCCCCTTTTCTGTCCCCAGATTCCATCCAGGACACCTCATTACATTCAGTCAACTCTCCTTAGGCTGCTCTTGGCTGTGACAGTTTCTCAGGCTTTCCTTGTTGTGGGTGGCCTTGACAGTTTGAGGAGTACCGGTCAGGTATTTTGTAGATGGCTTCTCACTTGGAAATTGCATGAAAACATTCTCATGATCGGGGTAGGGCTGTGCGTTTTGGGGGTAAGGCCACAGAGGCCAGGTGCCCTCTCATCACATCCTATCAAGGGTGCGTGTGGTCCACATGGCTTGTCCTGGGGGCTTTTAACCTGGAGACCTGGCTGAAAGCATGTGTCGGGCTATCGCACTGCAAGATTCCTCTTTCTTCCCCTTTCCAGACTGTGCCCTTTAGAAGGAAGTCCACGTGCACAGTACACATTTAAGAAGCGGAGAGCTATGCCCCACATCCTTGAAGGTAGGGTATCTACATACGTTATTTGGAGTTCTGTGGGAGGTTTGTCTTTTCTCCATTTATTTTTCTATTCATTTGTTTATATTGGTATGGACTTGTGCATACTTATTTAACGCTTTGGGTTATGTTCCATACTACGTTGTTTATTTTATTGCTCAAATTATTCCAGCTTTGGCCATTAACTCTTTCAGTTGGTTCCTGTGTCCCTTTGACATCTCCACACTTCCTTACTTATAAAATAGCATCATCATCATCATATCCTCATTCTGTCATCCCTTTTCTTTGAAGAAGTATGGGCCTGTTGATAATCGTTGACACTGGATAACGGGTGCATTGGGGTTCAGTATACTATGCTCTTCAATCTTTGGTCACATTACATTCTGTCCAGAATAAAAAGTACTGCACGCTGGTGATCTTGGATGTGAGACTTCGTGCCATCTGCTGTACCTGTGTATGGCTTGAGCTGATAGGACAAAGGTGGTGACAGAAGCCTAGGACTTCAGCTCCCGAGTCAGAGCAGGCTAGATGTCATAGTCTTCTCAAGGGGAGGGCCAGGGGGGACCCTGGGACTGTAGGGGGCTCTGCCCCCGAGGCGTGCGGACTAAGTGCCTGGCAGGAAGGTGGGGAGGGTCCTGCAAGTGGCACCCCCAGAGGGGGATGACAATGGTATGATGGAATGGGTACCCAGGAGAGCTATGCTGTGCTCCCGGGAAGGCTGACGCTTTGCTGGCTCATCCACTCAAGTCCTCCCCTACCTCTTGGGAGCAGTGGTGGCCATGGTCTGGATGCCAAGCTAGCCAGTGAATGTGGTGGAATGTGAAGGGTGATCCTGTCCCCGCAGAGTGGAGGCTCTGGCCCACCTTCCCTTCACCCAAAGCCTCTGCTGGGCTCTTGTGGGGAGGGAGGAAGGGGGGCACACCAGAGCTTGGGAAGCGATGGCCTGGCCCTGTTCCTTGTCCCGCCACATGCCAGCTTTCTCATCGAGGGACCAGCTTCAGAACTCCTTTGGTATCCATGTGCTTGAGTCTGGTTTTTACCTCCTCTGAGCTTTCTGCAGGCAGGGCCTGGGCTTCATTAGCTGCCTGAGTCTCCCAGTGCCTGGCACAGTGCTGGGCTGAGGATATGGGCTGCTCAAACACCTGTGGGTTGAACTCAGGTAGAGGCAACCCCAGAAGTGACCTAAAAGTGTGCAGAAATGAACGTACACTGGGAGGCTGGAGTCCCTTGGCATGCACTCATTTGTGTATTTGTAGTATATCCAGTGACAGACCAGGCACTGTGATAGGGGTGCAGCGGTGAGCCTCATGGCTCTGGCCTCATGGGAGCCCCCAGTTGGAAATGCCTGCCTAAGTGTTCACGGCCCCGGACTCATTTCCTGCAGGGAAAACTAGTCAAGCTGTTTGAACCAGAGTTCCTCTAGCTGAAGTCTCCCGCTGGCTTTGTGGTAGGTATTTGCTGTGGACGTGACATTCCTTCTTTCAGCTGGCTGGCCTTGCCGTGGCCTTTGGCCTAAAGCCATCGGCCACTGTCCTTTAGCCCCAGATCTGCCCCTGCCACCTCCGAGCTGTTGATGGCACCGGGAGATAAGAAACAATGAAGCTCTCAAGCATGTGCGTGGGAGCCACATTGCCAGCTGGACTCCTCTGGCTGGTGAGGAGTGAGGGTGTGGGCGGCAGCTCTGCACGCGCATTTGGTTATTTTTTTTTTTTTAATTTTTTTTTTTCAACGTTTATTTATTTTTGGGACAGAGCGAGACAGAGCATGAATGGGGGAGGGGCAGAGAGAGAGGGAGACACAGAATCAGAAACAGGCTCCAGGCTCTGAGCCATCAGCCCAGAGCCTGACGCGGGGCTCGAACTCACGGACCGCGAGATCGTGACCTGGCTGAAGTCGGACGCTTAACCGACGGCGCCACCCAGGCGGCCCCATTTGGTTATTTCTTGAACCAGACTTTGCACGGCTCATTGGGCCCTTGCAGGAGCCAGCTTATGGAGTATGTACCTTTCTCTACTGGCCTGCTATGGTAGTCGTCAGCTTTCTGGTTTTCTTGGCGGGAGGCTCAAACTCTTAACCATGTTCGGCACTGGGGTGGAAGGTTCTGGCACGGATTTCTCAACGTTGGATCCTTGATTGTTTCCCCCTCCCCCGCCCACAGCCTTTAATTTACTGGGAAAAATTAATAGACACTGTGCTGGACAATTTTGCCCAGAGAAGGCTCTATAGGTATGAAAGGACCCTACTTCTGCCATGGACATCAGAGGAAAACAATCCTAAATGGGGCCTGGCAGTCAGAACAGGCCTGCTGGTGCAGCTGGCATCCAGCACAGGGCACAGGAGGGAGCCTGCCCAGCTGGTTGTGAACTGTCCAGGGCCACCTGTTCGGCTCTTTTCTAGACACGCCCATCCTGCTGGGTGTGTGTGTGTGTGTGTGTGTGCACAAGGTATACACGTGTCAGCCAGCGTGAGCTGGAGCCCCTGGGCCCTGGGGTCTAGTCGTCAGACCACGTGGAGCCAACAGGCTAGGCTGTGCCCGCCTCACCCCTCCAGGCAGCTCTGCTCATGGTGCCCCAGGAGGGAAGGCTGAAAAACAAGGGCTCAACCACTATCGTAACCAGGCCCTGGCAGGAAACATCCAGCAGTCACAAGATGGGCTTTTGCAGTATCTCTGGGCGTGGCATGATGTGGGCCAGCAGGCACTGCAGAAATCCAAATTAAAACCAGAATGGAGAACGGGGAGAAGTAACCGGTATGGTAATGGTAAATGGTTCTGATCCAGCCAGCAAGGATATATTTCATTTCCCAAGTCCAGATTTTTTCCACAGGGAATACATCTGTGGTGTTGCTAGAGTTCCATCAGAACTCACCCCTTGGTATTCAACATGTATTTACTTCCTTTGAGGAATTTAAATTCCTTAAATTTAAGTAAATTTAAATTTACTTTCCTTTAAGGATTTTAATGCGCCGAAAGATAGAATTTATTCACTCCGTATTTCAACAAAACGCAAACAGAAATGGTTGCACAGCCCAGGACCTATGATGGCAGCCAGACCTAAGTACATCGGAGTACTCACCAAGCGCCAGGCACAGTTCAAGGACTTTCACACTTAGGCCTTTACGCCTCACAATGGCACTTTGTGCCACTGCTGTCTTCATGTTGTGCCTCAGGAAACCAGGGCAGTGTCACCCAGAGCCAATCCAGATGGGCAAGTTCAGAGCCTGTGGCCTAACCTAGCCAGTCAGGCGCTAGCCCTGAAGCTCCTCGGGCTTCCCGCCCCACCCTGACTGACCCTGATAAAGCAGTGACGACACTTAGCAGCTGGTGATGGTTTGCTGGGAGAGCCTCCAAAACTCAAGTGGGGGCCTGCCTGATGCCGTCACTCTGGTCCTGGGTACGGTTAAGCCTGCTTATCCAAACTTGTCCAGGAATAGGGTATTTGGCCAATTTGACTTCTACCTCAGGAATTAACTAGAAAATATTTTTGTTGTTGTTGTCTGTCCCCTTCCCAAGGACAGCCCGGCGCTGTACGAGTTAGTCCGTGCCTTAGTAAAACCCCAAACGCTGAAGGACGTCTGTCTTTGCCTGTTCGTGATCCACGCTTCAGGACCCTTCAGAAGGGGCCCAGGTCTCACCATGGGTTTTCGGTACGGCCGACGTAGAGGTTGGCAAACTCCCGCTCCCTACCCAGGTTTCCTCCTCAGGCTAGAGAAACTGTTTTGAACAAAGAAAGGCTCTAGTTTCGTGTTCCCGGAGGCTGTCCAGAACGGAGCCTGGCAAACAGTCCTGAGACACTGCCTTGCTCTGGCTGGCCTGTAGACCTGCCCGGCAACCAGAGAGGCGGCCGCCAGCGTGTGGCATAAAAACGGGTGTGGCCCCGTGCCATCGCCTTTGCTCGGGGCTTCAAAAGTGGGTGGCTAGACAGCCCTCAGCCGGCCCTCAAGAGTGTAGAGCCCCAGTGGGACAAGGGCAACATCATCAAGGCAGTCCTGTCAGGTGGATGGCTCCCCAAACCCCTCTTCCTTCCCCCCGCTTTTCTCCCAAGTGCAGTCTTAAAAAGAGCCTGGCCTCACACCCACTTGGCTAATTCAGCTCAGCTGTGCCTCTTTCCTCAACAGCTTCTTTTCGTTCTCTGTGTTATTTTGCTTTTGGGAGTCAAACCTTGTAAGGACAGGGCACATCTGGGGGTGGGGGGGACACCAAGATACCCACCCTCGCGTACTCCAGGGGAGGCTGACCGCAGGAGATAATGACCACCAGCACCTGAGTGCTCCTGTGGACCCTAGGTCAAGCACATCAGAAGCATTCTTTCATTTAACCCTCACGGCCACTTTGTGAGGGTAGCACTATTATTCTCCTCACTTCATGGATGAGGACACTGAGGCTGAGAGAAGGGACTCCCCGGAGACTACCAGCGACAGACAGAGCCAGGATTTTGAACTCAGGCAGTCTGCCTTCAGAACCCAAGCATAAAGTACTCTCTTATTAGAAACAGAATTCTGCTTTCTTCAGCCAGGGTCAGAGCTCCACTCCGATCATCTACTTAGTCTCGTTCTTCAAACCTCTCCCAGCTAAGATGATAACTCTGCGAGCTGAGGTAATTCTTTGCTAAACTCACAACTACTCTACATATGGAATTAGCATACCAAGAACTTTGAGGGAGTGCCTCGGTGGCTCAGTTGGTTGAGCGTCCGACTTTGGCTCAGGTCACGATCTCACGGTTTGTGAGTTTGAGCCCCACATCGGGTTCTCTGCTGTCAGCACAGAGCCCGCTTCAGATCCTCTGTCCCTCTCTCTGTCTACCCCTCCCCCATTCGCGTTCTCTCTCTCTCTCTCTCTCTCTCAAACATAAAAAAAAAAAAAAAAAAAAAAAAGAATTTTAAAAACTGGGCCATTTAAAAAAAAAACCCTTGCACTCAGGGCAATCGTAAAGGTAGGAAAATATCAAGCTTACCATTGCAAAAGAACAAGGGGTGGCTTTCAACAGGACCGTCGGTGAAGCCACCTGCTGCAGTGACCAGGCAGGTCACCAGGTTCTCTGGCTTTGTGCGGGCCTGCCAGAGCACCATGACTCGCTGTGAAAGCAACCCGTGGTCAAACGTCGGTGTCCTGGGGGGGTACATACACTGGCTTCCTAGACAGACCAGAAGAAACTTGGCTGGGACTTTGGTTCATCCCCTGTAGCGAGCAGCTTGGGTCTCTTACCTTGCTTTCCAGGCAGCTGCTCCCAGCGGCACCGGCTTTCCTCCACCACTTGCCAGTCTGCTCGGCATGTCAGTCAGTTGGATCAAATTTTCCCCGGAACCAGCTATCCGTTGTGGCCCTTTTCTTCCAACTGGTTTACTGAAATTTTGAGAAGCCTAAAACTCAACTTCTTTGAAAGCCAGGCTCTCAGGGACATCACCTATCGTCGTGCTGGCTCGACTGGTCTTCGTCCTGTTCCCCACCTCGTAGGAGCCCAGCTGCACATTCCCTCCATGTCGGGACCACGTTTTCCTTCATCTGCAGCTTGCTTCTAAGGCCCACCCTGACCAAGCTAGCTGTGTCTGAGATTTATAATTAAGGCCGGACATATAAAGAGATATGGTAAAGGGCAATAAAAAAAAGGAAGGCATCCTAACTTAGAGGGCTTACTACCCTCTTCGACCTTATCACTCAACTTCGTTCCCATTTTCTTATTCTTGTCTCTTTCCTATCTTAGAAAGGAGTGCCTTTAATAAATGGGATGTTGTTCTCCCAGTATCCTTGGTTTCCTAATTGCAATCATGGTTTTGGGGGCTTGGTTTGGTCATGTTCCAAACTGCCTGTTGTAGAAACACAGCCTACGTGTCAACTCCCATTAACTAAAAAGAGATACTCTGAGTTTGACATCTGGTTGACAGAAGCCCCAGCATTACCATTCTAAAGACAGGGACAAATCGAAGAACTGATTTAACTTCACTCCCTCCCTTGGTCTAGGAATAGCAGTATTTCTTGTCAGCCAGACAGGAAAACCAAAGCTGAGCTGTGTTCTGGCCATAAACTCTCCTCCTTACGAGGTCAAACGAGTTGGGGCCAGTGTTGGTCCCTAGGCCGAGTAGAGCTAACTCGGTGCTGTTGAAGCCTCCTTTACCACTAGTGCTTGGCAGCTCTGCTGCCTCCTCTTACTGTGGTGGAACTCTCTAGAAACTCAAAGGACCTGGAGAACACCAGTCACTTCCGAACTGGGCATTCATTACCAGGAGAAACCCAAACACACAGCTCTGGGCTACCAATTCCCCAAGGGCCATTTATTTAGCAGGAGCTGTATCTAGAAATGTTGCCCTGGTTAACCCCATCCCTGTTGGAACTAAAAAAGCTTCTATCCAATGAGCAAAGTCACCACCACTGGTTTACCCACTCCCTGGCTGGCCCAGCGGAGCTGAGCCCTGAGAACAAAAAGAGGGGTGCTCTGGCTTAGAGGAGCTCCTCATTCTGCAAGCCCACGTAGGTCACCTCTGCTTCTCTCTCAGGTTTCCCCCCATGGCCTCCAGAGGGCTCTTTCCTTAACCGTCTTGGCCTCTACAAGGGCAAGAAGACACCACCACCAAGAAGGATAAAATAAGTTTTTATTTATAGTCTTATAGTAAAGGGGAAAGCCTTAACTTGCAAGACAATTCTTGGGCAGTATGTACAACATACTTTTTATTTCCATGGAATGGAATCAAACACGGACTGAGACTACAGAGTACACACTAGAAATCAGCAAATGCCAGGAACGGAGTAGGAAAAAGACAAAGAAATGAGGCCTAAACACACAAAACCCTTCACTGGGATCTGCTGACCGCAGCCAGGACCAGGGCTGGATCACACAATGGGAACGGGGTCCAGGACAGTTGGAACAGGAAGGGGGTCAGGGTGGGGAAGGGTCCGCACTGGGGTGCGGGTTTAGTACCAGGTAAATTGCTCTTGGTATTTACATACAAAATCAGTTGGCTCTATTTCTTAGAAATACACACGGAAAGAAAGGAAGATTTGATCATTACTTTATGAATCTGTCGCTTTGCAATACCGACGTCATCAGAAATAGGGACAACTCACTCAGATTCAAATTTCAGTAGCAGGAAATAAATATCAAAACATCATCACTGGCCCTCAATACAAAACCTCTACCCGACCCGATCCTCCCCCCTTGTCCCACCCCCTACCACCCCCTGGCGGCTACCACTTCACTGCTGCCCGCTGTCCCCCACACATACCACACGAGTGTCACGCAGCCCTCCCTAAGGTTGGCTGGGAGAAGCAGGAGTGAAACAGGCCAAAGACTCTGTGCTGCAAATCTGTCCCCACTTGTATTTATACCACAAACTTCTTCAAGGATCTGGCCTTTCAATAGGAGCGATAAATAGCTTTTTAGAAAAAAACAAAAACAAAAACTTAAAAAGAAGGGGGATTAATTCTGATTACTCCAAACCGGTCATCTTCTTAAAGTAGAGCAGTCCACAGATTCACAAAGTCTATCAAACGGAGGTGAGGGTGGCCTGGGAGGAAAGGCCTGGGAGGGGCAGGAGTCCTCCGGGCATGTGCCCGGCGGGGCTGGAGGAGCTGGTGGGTGGTCAGGACACCATGTGCTCAGAGGTCCGGCCGGCCGTCTGTCCTCCACAGAAAAAGCTGCCAAGTTGGGGTATTTTGGTTTAAAAATTCCTGGTGGGGACAGGGAATCCCTGAAGGGAAACATTAAAAAAAAGCTTGTGGAAATGGGGAAGGAGAACGAGAGCTGTTGTCCAAGAGCTTCTACGTAAAAATAAAATTAAAAAAAAAAAAAAAGAGAAAAGAGGAAAACAAGAGTCTCTTAAATGGTTCTGAGGGTTCTAAGGATGAACTGAAAGGAGGATGGGACGATGGAGGAGACAGACAGTTTGTATTGCTGGCCTGCCCCGCGGAGCTTAGCTGGCCTCCATCCGGAGCTTCTTCCTGCTTTGGGGCTCTTCGGGCTCCGACTCCGAGCTGGAGTCTGAGCCTCCATCGAAGGCAGAGATGGTGCTGCCCTTGGCGTTGGTGTAGAGGCTGTTGTCTGAGGAGGGGTAGTTGGTCTGCAGTTGGGCACTCGACCTCGCCTTCTCCAGTGCACGGACTGAAAGGCAACCAAGCGAGCGGGTTACAGCCTTCTGGAGACTAGGGAAGCAACCGAGTCTCAGCTCAGGGTCCAGCCTGTTCTTCCGAAGGGCTTGCTGGCCCCCGAGGCTCAGGGTGGCTCAGAAGTAACTCCCTTCCGGTGCCTGTTCCACCCACACACTTCATTTCCTTCCTCCTTTCCCAGCCAGACCTGGGGGCCCAGTGGACATGGCCAGCCACTCTGCAATGCCTCCCAACCCTAAAGAGAAGGCTTGTGATGTCACCATCCTGCCATGGAAGTCGACTGTAGAGACAGGAGCATACGCTCCCTGTGGGACCCAGCAGCACAATGACAGAGAAGATGGCCTGGCGATGCCAGGCTCCACAAGGGTGTGAAGGCCACACAACAGCAGGGAAGGATGACATAAGATGTCGGCCAAAGAAAAGTTCTGGCTTAGCTCTCTCGTACAAGATCCACTTGGAAAGACAAGCTGGACACTTGGAAGCAAGTCACCAATGCACACAGCATACCTGGGCCTCTCGACACACAGCCCCTCCATGCAGGCTGCGTGGCCCAGTAACCAACCCGATACTGCCCCCCACTGCCCATCCCTCGGGGTTCAGCTCATCTTGAGCCTGGAAGGTCAACCCACTCATTTTATCTTATTTTATTTTATTTTATTTTATTTTATTTTATTTGAGGTGTTCTAACCCAGGTGGTTACTTGCATTTCCTTTTACTTGCATCTTCCATGAGGGAGGAAGAGAAGTGAATTCCCCAGGAACAAAGAACTTGATCAGCTCTCGCTTTCCCCTGTGGTTGTAGGAAAAGGTGGGTGTGAGCATTGGAGAACAGCATGGGCCTGGCCCATAGGCTGCCCTGATTGGACTACCATTGACAACGGGGAGGGCTCACTGTCCCTGAAAACCTGGAGTTTCTGGTACTTACAAAGCACACTCCAATCCAAGGACCTCAAAGCTCTTTTGAGACACCTGATGCCAGGTGTGACCCCTACCGCAGGCAGAGCACCTGAGCCCCAAGAAGGGGAGAGATCAGGTCAGAAAAAAAGTCTCCAAATGTCCAACCCCTAGACTCCACTGTTCCCTCACTGGCGGCTCAGGTCCTTCCTCAGGATGGTTCTAACACTCAACTATTCAGGCCCAAGAAGCAGGGCTGCCGCTGCTTATGAGCACGCGCTCCGTGACTGGTTCTGACTCTGCAGGCCCAGGTGTGAAGCCCTGACCTGGCCGGAGCACAGCAGGGCCGGCTGCCCCACCGGCTCATGTGCTCACCTTGCTGCTCCAGGAGAGCATTCTGCCGCTTGAGGTCATCGATATCTTGCTGGTGTGTGTGGTTTTTCCTTCGCATATACTGGATATACTCTGTGGCTTTGTCTAGGATTTGGGCCCGGGATGCCTGTTGCAATATGAAAAAAAGCAAAGGGGACAAAATAAGGACCTAGTCCAAGCGGTGAGGAAACCATGCCTTTCTGCAACAGCAGCACGGGGGAATGGAAGCAGGAGGGTGAGGTGGGACAAGGCTGAGGAAATACAGGAATCGCTGCTAAGAGCCTTCTTTGTGCCAGTCAAGGCGTCGAGTGCTTTATGCAGCAGCACTGAGAGGCGGCTCCACCAGGGACCCGAGGCTCAGAGAAGTTTACTCAGTTAGCCAAAGTCAACAGCTAGACAGTGGCAGAGCCTGGATTCAAACTCGGATCCATCTGACTCCTGAATTTGTACTCCCCCCATCCCCTTTGGTTCTTTAGATTGCTTTCAACTTTCGGCCTGGCCATGTCTGAAAACATTGAACTACTACTTAGCCGAGAGCTTAGGCTACTCACTCTCTGCTAGGGTGTGACTACGGGCAGCTGGTCCAGTGAGACAAGAGCAAGATCTCGGTGGGAGCCAGCTCGGAGTTGGAGGAGGCTCAAAATTTTTCCCCAAGGTCCCTAGATTTCAGACAAACCCTGACTGTGTTACCTATTTCCAACTGAGCTGTGCTGCTGTGTCACCATTTCAGCCTTCCTGGCTAAAGAGGCTTTTGTGAAAGCTGTCAGAGCTTGATGTCAACACAGGAAGGGCATGAGATTGGGCCATTTCAGGAAGCAACCACACCTTTACCACAGCCGTGGGCAGCCTAGGCACTGCCCTGTTAGAGGAACAAGTTGATAAGCCATTAAAATGGATGTCAGGTTACTCTGCCCCTGAAGGCCAAACATGCCTGGAAGATTCCCTCCAGGTTGCAAGCATGGCCAGAGTTACTCACGGCCAAGCAGCCAACTAGCCAAACAGGTAGAATGGTACAAAGCCAAGAGGACTGATGCCCAAGGCAGGGCAGTCTAGAAGTTGAGTGTGGCATTCAGGCCACCGAGGCTTCTGAGGAGTAGCAAAATTTCTTACTCGGGGTAGGGCAGTACTCGACAATTCTGTGTTACAATCCTGGCGGGTCCTTGACAACCAGAACACAACAGGGGGGAAAAGGCAGAGAAAACATCCACACTCAGGATAGCCAAACTAAATCCACTTGTATTAAATCCTGACAATCTCAATTTATATACCTTGGGCTGGGCTGGGCTGGGCATCAGAGAAATTTGCAAGGCCTGGATTTATTCACCAGTCCTCACAAGTACTAGAATTTCCAGGCTTTCCTCTTACAGCATGCTTAAGGCA